CGGCGGCAACGGAGCCACGGCCGCAGCCTTTTGCGACAAACTGTTCTCTTCCAGCTCGTCAATGATGTCAGTCAGCTCTTTGTACTCGCCCATGGCCCGCTTATGGCGCGCTTCCGTCATCGCAGCCCGCACCGCGCCTGCAGCCGAGGCTGAGGCTAAGGCTGAGGCGGCTCCTCCTGCCGATGATCCTCTGGCAGGGCCTACGCTGATGTGATTTGCCAAATCCAGTTTGTTTGTGCCCTGCACAAATAAAGTGCCACGCGGCAAAAGAACAGAAGCGAAAATGCGGCACGCACATAAGAAAAGGGAACATATTTGGGCTCAGGCGGAGAGGAGAACCTTTCAGAAGTGTCGACACGTGTTAAGTTATTTTTATGCTGCCTATTTATGCCCCTACGTGCGCTGCACACACACACACAGTCATCTCACTATGTGCGTGAGAGTGTGAGGAGTGCAGAAGTGCGTAAGTGTGCGAGTCAAGCACTTTATTGTTTGAATTTACAGCCCGGCAGGCAGGCTGGCAGTGAGTGCCGCTTGATTAGACAACTCAATGTAGATTGAAATGCCAGCACCTTAAATCGGCTTGTAAATCGCACTTCACCCATAAACGCTTACTCAATTCGAGTGTGCGTGGGCCCCAGAATGGAATTCCGGCACAGCAGATGTGTCCTTGAAGCTCGTATTTCTCGTAACAGAAAATCGGCTACACCATTGGATGCATCTCATTCGTACTTTCATACTTTTCTGCATAGAGTACAGAGTATTCCACTCGACTGTTTTTTTTACAATATTAAGTTCTTTGGGGAATTATTTACTCGATAAAATATTCATGAAATATTTCTGTAAGGCGAAACCTCTGACAGCCAAAACTCAAGAAAGACTGCGCTGAAAATCGCATAAGACTTTCGTTAAGCAAAAGCTTTTCCTAATTTGAATGTTTTTGAAATATGTTTTGAGAGCAGTTCTACCCATTTTAGTGACCCAATTTTAATGGACTCATTTAGAAACTCAATTATTCTTCAAGAAATTCGCGTAATTCTCGCCTTTCATTTATCAACCGAATAAAGTGCATATACGATGAGGCTTAACATTGAATCGATTTCGTTTTCCCAAAAAAGAGGCAAACGCTCCACAAATGCGAATGACAGAAAGGAAATTGGGGTTTGAGTTGCCTCCGAAATCAGAATTTCAAAATGCACAAAGGTAATTGCAAAGCTGCTGAAGTTATGAGTACCTCGAAGTTACGGAGTTTGCACCAAATTTCCGCTCAACCGTGTGCAGTGTACTGTGTCTCCGGGGTAGCGAGGGAGGAGCTTAACCAGCTGGCAAATTATCGCGCAGCGATTGTGTACTTGTGCCCAGGCAAATAAAACTAATTAAGTGGCGCTTGTTCGGCAAGCAACCACTCCACTCCACGCCTCGACCCGCACACTCACCTGCAAGGTCCTGGCCTGGCTGGAGACGAGAACGTAGCAGGATGCCGCGATAAGCAGCAATGTGCCATAACTTGGTCTACACATAACTGGCAGAGACTCAGACTCCGGCACTAAATCGGGGCACAGACTTGGGTCTGTTTGTCTTTTACGAGCGGCGCCACAAAAGGACCCAGGCGAACTCAGAGCTCGGCAGATAACAACTCTCTTGGAACGCGTTGCAGGACAACTGATGGCAGTCCCAAGGCGATCAGCAGTTTTTATAGCCCACTGTCCTGGGCCCCCATGCGAGCATGATTAGGCCCTTGAATGACAGTCGCTAAATGATTTGTTGTGCTCTGTAATGGCAGCAACAGGCGGTCCAAGAACACAACTGCCCACTGGTCAGCGGGGCAAACAAGCGTCCCAATCCCAAACGGAAGTGCCACACAATTTGTCCCACACAGACACAGAGTGGACAAAACAGAGAGCAGTGAACAGTGGAGCTCACAATGGTTTACATACACTGGCATTCCATTGCGATTGAGATCCACTGTGCGAGGAGGAGGACAACCTCATGCTTTATGCAAATCAAAGCGCGTGAAAAACCTGCCACGTCCCAAATAGCCAGAGTATTAATGGCAACACCAACGCCCACAGACACGTCAATGCCAATGCCAATGCCGGTGCCAATCGATCAATCTTATTTAAATGTTGACAGTTGTCTTCACTTGTATCCCAGCTTGGCGCTTGTTTGTCACAGCGAACAGGGCATAGAATAGGGGAACAGTGGGGGAAAGGCTTGCTCGGTGTTGGCCCACTGCTGGCTTATTTAAATGCCATTTTCTGAGCCGCATTAGGTTCAATTTGTTGGGCAAACAGCTGCGCACCTTGGCTGACAACAAGAACAACACGGCCTTGTCGTCGTCGGGCCTGCCTGTCTGCAGGCATTTTTGAAATCGGAATCGAAAACTTTGATTTTCGACTGTCAAATCAATTGGTCAACAAGGGAATCTCGGGGCACATTCTGTACGAACATAAGCTCTGCTACACGCTCCCCTAAGCTTCTGCATGCTCCACAAGGTTTCTAAAATGGGAGATTTTTCATTGTCACGCCATCCGTCAGATGGCTGCAAATCACGAGTATTTTCAATTAACAGACCACTGGACCAGCTCAGACCTCAACAATCCATCAGAGTCGGTTTTCCTTGCAACTGTTGCAATATCCCGCATGCCGGAGACTGCTGCAAAGCTGCTGCCCGAGTGTTTATTTTTGCCTCTAATTTACACAAACATGCCCCGAACCCGAGAGCTCGGAGACCCCGAGACCCCGACCCCAAACACTGACCCCAGAGCTGGCATTTATTTATTTAGTAACTCAATGTGGAACAGCAGCTTTTCCTTCTGCCACCGAGCACTGAAGGATTTATCTATTTGTCCAGGGCTTAAAATATTTCTGTACCAAAAACAAAAACTAAGAAATAAACATTCAGTCGAAATTCGGACACATGGGATACCTCTCAATCAGGTTTATTTGGTTTTCCAATTTAGTAGAAAATAATTTACAAATGCAGCACTCAAATGAGTCACAGATGAGGAAATAATTGATCGTTTTACACATGAGAAAATTTATTTATTACTGCACATTTGAGACCATTTCTCTCCTTAATTATTACCATATTTGAACGATGCATTTGGGTACTTTTGATCTGGTAAATAGTTAAGAATTTCTCATACATTTAACTACCACTCACAACACTTTCTTCCACAACTGCCAAAAGATGATTTACAGTAGCAAAATTTGACTTAATCCCTCTTGATAACTGCACTCAACACACCTTTGCCCTGACAGATTGCCCCAACTCATATTCCTCTCTTATTTGCTGCGTCCAAATGTGTATGAGGCGAACGGGCATTCAGTAAGTTTGTTTGGCGATTTAGCCAACGGTTCAATTATTTGCTCTGGTGCGCTTTATCAGTTTGCTAATGCTCTGTGGAGACAAGTCTCCAAGTTCCCAAGTTACGGCGCTGCTAATCCAGCACCCATTGGGGGTTGAGTGTCGTTCGGTCAGGCCAGTGCCTGGGTTTGGGTCTGGGTCTGGGTCTGGGTCGGGCCGACTTCTAGCGGAGGGATTTAATTGAATTAGTCGTGTCCCATAAGCGACGCTTTGAAGTTTGCACTTTGCACCCGCCCACACAGCCGCATCCGCATCCGCACCGGCCGATATTGGTCCATGGCCTGGTCTCTGGTCCTTGCGCACTTTCTGTTGTCCCACGGAGCAGGCTCTCTGTTGACGTTTGCGCTTAAGCGGAACCCGAGTGCCGGAAGGGCAACGGCTTTATAGAGTTTCCGCCAAGTACAGCACTCGCGCAGTGCCAGAGAAATAATTAAGCTAAAGAGCTAAAGCCAGAGCGGTTCAGAATGAAGTGGAGAGAAGGACTTTGTCAGTCAGGCAACCAATAAATAATGGCGCATGAAATTTATAAGCCACCAAAGGGGAGAGGGTCTCGACAATGATGTGGTTTTCAGCCCCCCCAAAATCCAAGTATTAAAACATTTAGTTGCCAATCTTGGCAGTGAAGGAGAACTGATAGTCCCTGGCCGGCTCTCGACAAACAAGCCAATCGGACAGCCGAAGGACAATGTAACGAGCAGCGGAAAGATTGAGTCTGAGAATCTCCGCAAGGTTGCCATTGCCTCTCACTCCATCAATCTCTCTATCTAATCGCAATATATACTTATGTTTAGCTCTGTATGTGTTTCCCCGAGCATTAAAAATATTGAAATCAAGTGGCTGAAGGACAGCCAGAGCAGAAGCCCAGCCTGCCTCCCTCCCATCAGCCATTTGTTATGTGACTGCCGAGGACATTTCAACTTCAATTCAATGTACTGACACAAGTATAAGCCAAAGTCTGCGGTCATCTGTGCTGATGTGGTAGCTGTTTTATAGCCAAATTGAGTAGCGGATAAAGTGCTGTCAGAGCAAGCTTTTGTCTTGCAGAAATATACATTTAAGGCTTACGCGTAGACTAAGGAGAAGTCTCTTGTGGAGGATTTTCCTGAGAGTTTCCACTTTACTTAGTGCCACAAAAACTGCACAGCGAAAAACAACTTTGAAGCTGCAATCTGACATAATCCCCCGCTTTAATCCCCGCCTTTAAAGCAACAGCCTGTCTATATGGGGCCGTTCGCCCCACAAGTGTCAGCACTTGACAGCACTGCAGCTGTCTTTCCTCTCTGTCTGTCTGTTTCGCTGGAGATATGCAGATGCGTGGCTTTGCCTCTCAAACAGAATGCATCGCAAGCGCTCACCCCGGCGTACACGCAATACATATTTCTGTTATTTTAATGCAGCAGGGCCAGCGACAGCTGAATGGAGATGGGAATTCACTCCGTGTTGAGTTGGACAAATTGCCGAGAATACATATCAATATGGCATGGAATATGGACTGGGTTTATGGTCTCCGAATCTTGTATGCACATAAAGATTTCCCCACTGTAGCAGTCTCATTTTGGGCAATTTTCCGCCGTTTTACAGTCTCACACTCCGCGATTATTTCATAAATAATTTATGTATTCACTTGCAGTTTCCCCGGCGACGACTGCTCTGCGCTTGAGCAGCACTGTGAATCGAGACTCTGCCGCGTAAACTCAAACAGAGACACGTACCGGAAGAGGTGCCCCCCGAGAGCTTTTGGGCAATGGAGTGGAGAAGCACCGCCGTGACTCTGACGCTGACTGGGACTTTGACTCTGACTGGGCATGATGTTGTAGTATGAGGACCAACTTCGGTCCGTTGGTTTGCATTGCAGATTGCAATTATTCGCGTTTTAAATTACGCGCATACTTGAGAGGGAAGAGATAAAACTGGCAGCACAGCCACGACGAGAGCGAAGGGAAAACATTATGAGCATCAAGGCAACGGAAAGGACTTTAATAAGCAACGTTTTAATCAGAGTGCCGAGCGTTAAGTGACCACGAAATGAGCGACATGTCAAGGACCAAAGTTTCTGATTTCCTTAGCACTGCCATCAGCCAAGCGCCGACGACAATGACATTAGCTGCAACATCATCAACAGCAGCAAGAGCAACAGCAACAGCTACAGTAAAAGCAACGAGCAGGCCCACTAAATCGATTGCAACATTCGTGGCTGGTAGCGCTGCCTTTAATGGCACAGTCACAACGACAGCGACCGCCTCAAAGGGTAACCTTTTGCTGACAACATCCACATCTACGACGACAACAACGACTTTGCCTACAACATCGCAGTTTGTGGACGCATCGTTGACTTCGCTTTCACTAACAGCCACATCGACAGCGTCAATAACATCATCGTCTGCTGGCGCTGGAGCTGGAGCTGGAGCTGCCACTGGCACTGCCACTTCAGCCTTCTGGTCCTCCGAGTCACCGTTTGAGCTCTTCCCAACAGTTGGGACAAACTTGACAAACAATATCAGCAGCATCCTCGAACAGAGCGAGGGCGAGCTGGAAGAGAGCTGGGTGGATTTATCGGTGCTCATTCTCAAAGGCTTCATCTTCTCGTCAATTATCCTGGCCGCTGTTCTGGGCAATGCATTGGTCATCATCTCCGTGCAGCGCAATCGTAAGCTGAGGTAAGTCTTTACATCCAATTTGTCTTTCCGGTGAATGTCCCGGACCCTGTCCCTGTCCCTGTCCCGCTTCCGGCTCACCTTTGACACTTGAATTTAATTGACGGTCAAAGCAGGCAAAATTGCTGGGAAAACACGGGCAAACAGGGGGGCTGGGGCGAATGTGAGGATGCGAGGGCGAAGCCTTTGGCCTGCGTAATAAATGTAATTTAAATGAGCGACAAGTCGAATAATAAAGGACAAAACGAAGTTAAATGCGAGACAAAAGCCCATCGCTGCCATGAGAACCTTGCGATGACAGGAAGCCCCAGAGTGCAGTGCAAATAAGTGTAGCACACAATTGAGCACAAGGCTTGGCTCTCATCCTGTCCGACCCACTGTCACTGCCACTCCCGTTGCCAGTGGCACTGCCTCCCACACACAACCCTCTTCGGTGTTGCACAACGTTTGTGCGTGGAGCGCATAAGCTGGAGGATTTTGATTAAAGAGTTTATGATGCCACTAAAATGTTCAAACACCCGCTAGATTACCCTTTATCACCTCGGTTTTTGTCATTTGAAAGTCATTTGGAATACCGCTTCATCTCTTGCGGAATGTAAATAAAACGCAGACACAGAAAAGCTGGATTATTCCGGTCTCTACGAGATTGCTCTAGATTAACTTTTATTACTTATGTACCTCTTTTTATCTCAACTCAGTCGGAAGTAAACATTTGTTTTTCTCGCTTGGGAAATGCATAAATCAACAGATTCAATTCCGAATGCTGTAGATTTGTTTGTTTGCTCTCTTATAACATTATTTATTTACTCAATTTATGATGAATTATAATACCCAAAGATTGCCGAAGTTTCATTATATTTTCTGAGCGAATGCTGTTCGTTTGGAAGGCAGACTTTGTCTATCAATCGATCGATAAAACTGTGTAATAAACAATATTCGAACTGCTGAAAAAAGCTTGACAAATATGACATTTTTTTGGACACCCAGCGCCACTGGGTAGAAATTTAAAATTCTTTCTTTTTTGCACACACTCATCGTGTCGACATATTAATAAACACTTTCCAGAGCAGCAAAAAGGAACAAATAAAACGGTGACAGAAAGTGAAGAGAGCACGGAAAAAGGTGCACAAAAAGTGCTATATAAATTTTAATTCATGCTATAAAATACGTAGACCCCCCCCCACCCGTTGCTCGACAACCGCATAAACGTCTCTTTGGTTCTGTGATATTTGGATGCTGTGCACTCAGGATTGTTCTGCAGCGCTGTGAGTGGTAGCTGTAGGTGGCAGCTGCCTAGTCAGTCGAATGTCTTATGACAGCCAAGGAAATTGCTGCATAAAGGTGACCTGCAGCCGGCAGCTACGAGAATATGTGTGCCCAGAGAACGGAAATGGAATGCAATGCAATGTTTAGCTAAGCTGCCAGAGTTCTTTTTCCCAGGGCCATGGCCACCGGGGGGGGGCCGGACCCATCACAAATGTATGAAGTGCCACTCGTGTGACGTGGCTACATTTTTCCTGTTCGAGAGCCGGGCGAAAACGCATGCCTGGCAGTCCATCCAATACTTGTGCAGTCGTAAGCCTAACGATCTCTTGGACCTTTGTTTCGTTCACAGGGTGATAACCAATTACTTTGTGGTGTCGCTGGCCATGGCGGACATGCTGGTGGCCCTCTGTGCGATGACATTCAACGCGTCCGTGGAGCTGTCCGGTGGCAAGTGGATGTTCGGACCGTTCATGTGCAACGTGTACAACAGCCTCGATGTTTACTTTTCCACGGCAAGCATACTGCATCTATGCTGCATATCCGTCGACAGGTGGGTAAACACAGATTACCAGCCCACCTTTAGGGCTCTGTTTAACGATTTAAAGTCAATTGTATGCAATGCGCCTTTAAATATGTATATCTCTCCCAGACCATTAATCTTCCCCAGATGCCTGCTGGCAAATCACTTTCCATACAAAAACCTTCCTTCCCCCGCGCACTTCGAATAAGAAACAATTAATTACCGTGAAAGGAGCGCACATCAAAAGCAAACATTAGGCCGGGGCCGTATGATGAATGCGGCCCAAATGATTTGCAGCTGGTCATAATGTGGGCGTGCCAAAGGGGACCCACACCCACGTCCCTTGAATGCCGCCAAGCTGTTAATTGGCGCTATGCCTCGACGGAGACTTTCACAGCTGCGACTACTCCGCCGGGGGTGCTCTCTCCCTACAGCCCTGCCCCAAACAACAATGCTCAATGCTCGATGGCGACTGGTCAAGGGGACAGTGGCTGTGGGGCCTTTGTCTGTTTTAATTAATTTGTGTTTCACTCACCTTTCGGACGGTCCACAAAGCCCACTCGAACGTACACACAGCAAAACAAAAGAGGAAAGAAAAAGCAACAAAAACAACAGCAAAGCCCCAATCGAAATTAGAAACTTAATGATGAAAAGCCACAACTAATATTTTTCCCACACGGAAACTACTCCTTTTGGTTATCCTTGTGAGGTGTTTATGCACGCAAAAACTGAACACACAGCAACGATTATCAGGCCTGCCATAGACAATAATCAATTCTATGATACGCGGGGAAAAATCAGTCAAGTCTTAAGCATTTTCCCTCAGTGGTTTAGGTGGTTTAGGCTCCCTTCCGCATGGTTTACAATTTATCTCCATTATTAAGGCTTCCTGCTCTGCTTCAACAGATACTATGCCATTGTGCGTCCACTGGAGTATCCATTGAATATGACACACAAAACGGTGTGCTTCATGCTGGCCAATGTCTGGATACTGCCCGCCCTCATCTCATTCACGCCCATCTTCCTGGGCTGGTACACGACGGCGGAGCACCTGCGGGAGATATCGCTGCACCCGGACCAGTGCTCATTTGTGGTGAACAAGGCCTATGCCCTCATCTCCAGTTCGGTGAGCTTCTGGATACCCGGCATTGTGATGCTCGTGATGTATTGGCGCATCTTCAAGTGAGTTTGTGTGGCACGAGACGATGCCGTGAGCGATGGACGGCCATCGAATTAATGGTTGGATTAATTGTTCCTCTCTTCTCCGTGTTCGTGTACAGGGAGGCTGTGCGCCAGCGCAAGGCTCTGAGCCGCACCAGCTCGAACATTCTGCTGAACAGCGTGCACATGGGGCAAACGCAGCAGCCCACCAACCTGAGCTATCTGCATCCCAGTGACTGCGATCTAAATGTGGCATCCACGCGTGAGGAGACGCACAGTGCGCTGAGCAACTTGGAGGTGAGTGCGAGGGGGTCATCCGCAGAACATTCAAGTCCTCTTGTTCCTGTTAAATAAAGTGTTGATTAGATTGGGAGTGCACGTTCCTTTATATAATTGGTGCCTCAACATGACTTGACTTGACTTGACAGGACATGCTGCAGCCGGCGACGGATGAGGATGACGACAAGGACGAGTGCGATGAACTGCGCGTGCCCTCCCCGCCGCCGCGACGCCTCAGCCGCAGCAGCATCGATCTGCGCGACCTCGAGCAGGAGCGCTACGAAAAGGTCACGCACACGGACAGCGCACCCTCGATGATGGCGCTGCAGCAGCAGCCTCTGCACACGCACACCCACAATCAGCTGCAGCCGCCAGCTCCTGTGTTCAATCCGCAGATATGGACAGAGTCCTTTCCAGCCACAAAGTTCTTCCAAGTGGAGGGGCAAGAGTCACAGACGGAGGAGCAGGAGCTGGGGCAGCCGCAGCATCCGGCGCTACCGCAGCAGCAGCTCAGCCTGACCAGCGGCAGTGGCAACAGCGAGCCGGAGGCCGAGTCCACGGCCTATCGGGTCTTTGGGCTGCACAGCGACGAGAGCGAGAGCAATGACCACTACGACACCCACTTGCCGCTGGCCGAGGACAACAAGGAGCTGAAACGGCTCATCGAGGACAATTATTTGTACTTCAAGAAGCAGACGGGGGGCACGGTCATCAGTGCGCCAGGAGGAGGCAAATACGCCGCTCTCAGCGAGACGGACTTCATCCGGCTGAAGGCGGGTGCGGCGGCATGTGGGCGCAAGGCGATCGCAGCCAGCGATTCGGAATTTCTGCGCACGATCAGCGAGGCCAGGGCCAGCAGCACGGGGCAGCAGCAGCAGCAGCAGCAGCAGCAGTTGCCCGGCAAGGAGAAGGGCTTCAACTTCCTCTCGCTGCTGGCGAAGACGAAGCGCTCCAGTGCCGAATGCTTTGCGCTGGAGAGGAAGCGAAACCAGGCCACCTCGGAGGGATCGAGCTTCTTCCGGCGCGCCCGCAATCGGAAGCTCTCGCACAGCTACAACGGAAGCGGGGGCGGTGGCGGTGGCGGTGGCGGCAAGGAACGCAAACTTGAGCGACGCCAGCGGCAGCACAGCGACACGGACTCAACGCCCAACAAGCCGGACATCCTGCTGGACATCAACGTGCTCAGCGAGCAGAGCGGTGCCTGCGTCATTCAGCAGTTCAGCGATGGCGTGCAGCTGATCGACTTCAGCGGCGACACTGACGGACTCGGCATCGGCATGGGGCCGGGGGACGAGCTGGCCCAGCTGGCTGACTGCTTCGGGGAGTCCCCCAAGCATCCGGCCACGCCGCCGCCCTCCCTCTCGCCGCCCGAGCTGCCGGAGCAGAGCGGCGGCATGCTGATTGCCAACAGCTCCGAGCTGGCCGAGATCTTCCGCTCGCTCAGCTTCCCGCTGGGCGAACAGGGGCGCAGCGTTGGCTCCAGGCGCCAGGCGGCAGCGCCCCAGCGAATGAGCACGCTGAGCGATCAGGTGTGCGCCAACTACCTGATGTCCCCACCGAACACACCGGCTCCCGCCACGGCCACAGCCACGTGCACGGCCTCGTGCACGTCCGCTTCCAATGGCAATGCTCTGGGCTCCCACTCCAACTCCAACTCGCAGTCGGCGTCCATCAATGTGTACTTCCTGTCGCCGCCACCGCCGCATGCAACCGGACCTGGTTATACGCCAAGCGACACGTCGACAGTATCCCTGGATGTGGTCACCACGCTGCCAGTGCCGCAGCCCAGTCCCCAGCCGCTGTCTGCCTGCAACCAACAGCAGCAGCAGCAGCAGCTTCCCCTCAACATATCCCCAAAGCCAGAAATCATACTCGACTCCACGCTCTCGCCCGTGGAGGGCGGTGGCGATGGCCTGGGCGGTGAGCCCATCGATGTCACATCGCCGCTGTTCAAGCGCAAAGATAGCTCTGGAGAGGCGGATGTGAGTGTTTCCGGGGGCCGTCAACGCTGCAGCATCCTGGCCGGCTACGATGGCCTGCAGACCGTGAGGAAGCGTCAGGCCTCCGTGGTGACCTATGACGTCAATGTCATAAATTTCTCGCAGGAGAACAGTGACAGTCGCAGCTACATTCCCATGGGTCGCGTCTCCACCAGTTCAGCAAGTGAGTAGTGCCCCCTCTCCATTTATCTTTAAATGATTGAGTAGAGTAGCAAAAAAAATGAGCAAAAACCATTAAGAGGTGCTTTTGGGGCTACACTCGGAGAAAGAAGGGACAGTCTCAATCTTGAGAGCTCGAAATAAATTATGGAAATTAATCTTAATTGAGAAAAGTGATTACTTACCATCTGAAAACCATTTCAAAAGCAATTGGACTGCCTTTCCACTCCGAGCTTAGCCTCTACCTAGTAGAAGAACCACCAATAAAGCTTTAGTTAATGCTACTAGAGACTTAGACTAGAGCTTTATGTTAGTTGCACCGCCAAGCCAAGAACAAAGAAAACGACGCAAACCTTCAATGAAAAGTGTTGGGAGAGCTGCCATTGAAAGCCTTGATAAAGGAAGAACCATGTAATGTCCTCCTACTGGTGCAACTGTTTGCTTTGATTCCTCTCTTTTCGCTCCTCCCTGAACCTTTGTGTGTGGCGATGCATGGCACGCATGCGCATGTGATGTGATGTGATCTGTGCCCCCAAATCCTTGACCAATACCTATGATGTCCTGTCCATGAACTGAATTTATGTCTACTACTTGTCGCTCTCTTTATCTCTTTCTTTCTCTTTGTAATTGTATCTCTCTCTCTATCTCTATATATCTATGTATCTGTCTCTCTCTCTCTCTCTCTCTCACAACATTTCTTTTGTGTCTGTGTGTTTGTATGTGTAAATATATGTAAACCGAATCATCAAATTTTGTCCAACCGCAAAAACTTCTACTCCAAAAAATCAACCAAAAAAACAAACAAATTTGTGATCGTACCCGAACCAAAAACCCCGCAAAAAATAAAACCAACCAACAATCCTGCAAGCAGAGCACGAATTTTCCAATAAATCCTCGCTCATTCGACGCGGTGGCATCTGCATCTTTGTGGATGAGGAGGAGGCCGAGATCAGTGATCAGAAGCCGCGCGGCATCAAGTTTGCCCCCGTGTCCAGCCCGCTGCCGAAGTGTCCGCTCTGTGGGAGCGACATCAGCACCAACATCACAACCAACTCCACTGACACCACCGCCAATGCAAGTAGTAAACGTAGTAGTCACGCCCCAGCTCCAGATCTTGAGCCAGAGGAGCCCCCCACACGCTTCTGGCACAAACGTACGGCGGCGGTCACGGCATGCTGGCAGCAGAGGCAGCGCCATCGGAAGCACCGCTCCAAAGCCGGATGCAGTCACTGTGGTGCAACCGGTGAGTCTTGTCGTATCCACCACACAGCAAACAGCAAACAGTAGCCCAGCTCTACCCCCCATCCTTCTCTCTCATTCTCGCTCTCTCCTTTTCTCCTTGTAACTCTTTTGTCTGTCTGTCTCAGTCAGTTTTCTGTATCTGTCTGCATCTGTGTCTGTCTCATGTTTTAACACTTCAATCTCACGCTTTTCCTACGCTATCAGTGTCAATCATTTGCTTTCCTCTCGCATCAGCACTCGCATCAGTCCAGGACACACACGCACCCACACATCCCAGCTGTATATACCGACATGCATCCTTAAAAGTATCCTTTCAATGGCCAAAAAATAAACCAACATCAAATACAGGAGTTTAGGGTAAAGCCAATTCTTTGACCCGAGATAACGTTGTCCACAAATCGAATTAACATCATTATAGCTGAACCGAACCGAACTGAACCCAAACCCAAACCGAATCTTCACCTGACCACAGGATCCGCCCAAAAACCGTTTTAGACAGCGTCCCCCCTGATAACCAGCTTAGTCAGGGGCTTCACACGCACCTAACGATACAGAAAACCCCAGCCAAGCCCACACCCAAACCCATCTGAGCTTTCTCCACTCTCATGCTGTACATAAATAATTGCTTCCGTTCTGCACGTGCGTTTGCCTTGCCATGTTGCGCCTCCACTTTGCCATTCGTTTTTGCATTATGATTTCGTTACGCCTTGTCCGCCCACACCTGCCCAGCTGGCTGGCTGGAATTCCTCTCTGCAGAGCACTTAACATCGAGTATCCATCCATGGCCAGCTCTCTGGTGAGCATCCATCAACGGATGATGTCGACGACAACAAGAATCGAGGAGGCGGAGAGCGAAGGACAAACTTGTCCGCCACTTCCTGTTGCTCACTGTTGTCCGTCTGATTTGTTATACTTTCTCCTGCCCTGAACTCTCACTTTCAGGAGATGTTGTAGGGAGGGGCTGTATGTCGTTGTGATAACAAGTGTCCTGTGTAAATATTTTCAATTGTTTGCTTCGTTTTTATTGCTTTCCCCCACACACACTTCCATATATACATTCCAATCAAGCACCCAGCACCACAGCACGAAGATACGAGAACTGGTACTGGGTACTCGAAATACCTCACACACACACATGCCGGCAGTGTAATGACAGTGATGGGTCGACGGTTGGGGCGGGGCGTCTAGATAATGCCTCCGATCCAAAAGCAATAGTATTACTAATGTCAAAGTTAAATACGCCAGGACATGACCCGTCGCATACACAACATGCCCGGCACTTTCTCTCCACAGAACGAGCACACAAAACCGAACCAAACCGAATCGGACCGCCTTTTTGCATCACACACAATCACACTACAGCAAAACAGAGCAAAACAGAGCAAAGCAGCAAACTGTCAATTGCAATGGCTTAACAGCACAGAACTTGACTCTGGTCGATGGGCCCAGACGTCGGTTTAAAACGAATCGAACCGCAACGAATTGAACCTAATCAGCCAATTGCCTTCTCTCATTTCATTTCAATCCAACTCAACTCTTTATCTGCACCCACAGGCGGCTCTGTGCGGCCAGCAAAGGGATGGAAGGCCGAGCACAAGGCTGCACGAACTTTGGGCATCATCATGGGCGTCTTTCTGCTCTGCTGGCTGCCCTTCTTCCTATGGTAAGTCCACAATCCAGCACAGCATGGAGCTCATCGGTTCAACTGTATTTCTGTCTGTCTGTCTGTCTCTCAGGTATGTCATCACCTCGCTCTGCGGTGCCGCCTGCCCCTGTCCCGATGTGGTTGTGGTGGTGCTCTTCTGGATCGGTTACTTCAATTCGACGCTGAATCCGCTTATCTATGCCTACTTTAATCGGGATTTCCGTGAGGCATTTCGCAATACGCTCGAGTGTGTGCTACCATGTCTGGAGAAGCGAAATCCTTACAATGCGTATTACGTCTAGACCGGATACCACGCCACAATCCCCCCCCTATTGAACAATGCCCCTGTTAGTGATATTTAATACTTGAGAAACTCGTAATACCAAAGAAAATAAGCAAGGAAAAACAAAAGGCGTTCCGTGCAAGCATCTCTAGCTGGCAAAATCCTTCGAGCTAAGCAATACTCAATGTGTGTTTCTGTATACGTGTAATTTTTCACTTAAGCAACGATAGGGAATTAAATTAAATTTATGTTCTGTGCGCCCCATTGGTGTGCGACTCTACTCGTGCACAGGGGAGAGCGGCGCGCTGACACCCAGAACTACACTAAACCTAAATATATAACTGTTGTTGTCTCAAGAACAAGATATACGTAAACATATTTAACATATACATACATACATATACGATATAGGAAAGTCAATCAATTGGAAAACCCGATGGCTTACACATAAGGATGAGACAAACTCCGGAGTTCAAGTTAAACACGATTATATTAAGGCAGCATCGATTGTCTCCTGGCGTTTCGAAGGGTTTACACTTTTTGCTGGAAATGTTTGATTACCAAATTCATAGTTGAATTATTGTCTAAAATGTTTGGGTTTATTATGAATGCTGCAAAGAGTCTCGGTAAGAGTCGCGTCCTAGCCCCAGGCCCCTTTAAAATTCAATCAAAATTTCCAAGAAAGAGTGTAAATACCCCATTAAGCATTAAGTATCATACATATAATACGTATAATCTAGGTATTTGAGTAATAGCAAACAAAATCTACATACTCGAATTAAAACGCAATTGAGAATTATATTATACAAATTATGCAATTCAAATTATGTAAAAATGGATAAAGGAAAGATAAAGGGTACGCGAAATGATTTGAATTTTCAAGCAGAATGACAATCTAACAACAAGTAAAAACAAAAAGAATCTTGAACTAAAAACAACAAAAACTGAAAACACTGACAAGCTGTAGAAAATTCGCTGTAAAATCGATTTAGTTGTACTTTTACTTGTATTTCAATTTGGTTGCCCGGGAATCCCCTCTCTTGAGTTGAGAAGACTTTTGTGATAGCAAAGGAAATTGATTGTATTTCTAGTTGAATTGGTTTACGTTCGTTGTCTAAGGTAAAGCATCCCGTACATAACGAGTACCCTAACGAGTGTCTATGTACATAGATGCTTATGTACAATGTATGTATATGATGTATGTGCGTGTGTATGTATGTATTTTCAATGTACTTGCTGAACTAAACTTATTGCATATTAAAGTGTGTAACTAAAGTGTTTTGAAAACAATTGGAAGAGTCGTGTGCACTCACTTACCCCACTCACTATGCGTGGCATTTATTTTTAGCATCGAAGAGAGCGCATCGCTGGTATATATAGAATGGTCATGCCGGCTGAGGCCGCATATGTCTTCCGATTTTGTCCGTCCGGTTGGTTGGTGCTTGGGTTAGTTTGCTCTCGCTCGCCGCCAAATGCCCAACAACGCCCGCATCGAGCACACGTCCGTGGAAGCGCACGAGGGGGAAGCCACTTGCCTGGCGTACTATAACCACCAGCTGTTCTCCGGTGGCGCCGATGGGAAAATCCGAGTGGGTATTACATGAACACTGTCCGCTGTCTTTGCTGGCTACATTTTGGCTAACCGCTTTGCAGATCTGGTCGGAATCGCTACAGCTGTTGGACACGGTGAACGCCCACGATGCGTACATCTACTGCATGTCCGTCAATGAGCAGGGGAAGCTCTACTCGAGCAGTTGCGACGGTCACGTGAAGTTCATGCTGCCGCCCTACGGGGATGCATCGGTGCAGGATCTCTTCCGCTGCGACGACTCCATCCAAGCCATGTACTGCGATGGATCTGTGCTCTACACGGGCGACGACAAGGGTGTGGTGACCACCTGGAGCAACGATCGGATGCTCTTCAAGTACAATCTGGTGGAGGAGGTCAAGTCACTGGCCGGCGAAGAGAGGCTGATCTATACGGTGCGTGATTTGGACGTGGTGGTGTCTCTGACGGTGGATGGCAAGTCCGGAAAGTACAGCAACAAGGCAGTAATACCCGGAAAGTCGCCCCTAACCCTCCTGGGACCCATGGTCGAGGGCAAGCGCAGCTTCATTGCCTTTCCCGATCGCACAGGAATGGGCCTGCAGCTGGTTAACAATTTGCCGCAGCAACAGTTTGCCCACATCTGGCAATTGCCGGTGAGTGAGTCCTCAACTCAAGATGTAATCGCTCCTTATGTGTTGTGAAATTGCTTGCAGAATTGCCACGAGTGGATTGTCAACAGCATTTGCGGCGACGACTGCCATTTGTACTCCGGAGGCTACGACAAACAGGTCAAAGGTTGGACCGATTTGGCCTCCCCACAGCCTCGTGCCCTGGGCCACGTCGAGGTGGGAAGTTGGGTGAATAGTATTTGCTGTGGCGACAACAATACCGTGTACATTGCGAGCAACGATGGATTTATTCGCTGTGCGAAATTTGTTTAGAAAATACGCGCGTGCTTGATGTGGTGCTGCCAGACCTTCGAAATAACATGTGCCTAGTAGCAGCACAAGCTGTTTTTTTTAATTAATACTAAATATACATTTTAATACCAGTAAAGTTTTAAACAACTTTTATTGAATTCTAACTTCATCTTATAAGCTAAGTTTCTGCTCCAGTCTGTGATCTAGCGAGTCGAAGGCCACCTGCGCCTCAATCCAGCGCGCCACGGAGAGCAGCAACTGTTCGTTGAGGCTGCGGCTCATCAGTTGCAGGCTCAGTGGAAGTCCCGCACTGGAGAGGCGTATGGGGATTGATACGGCAGGAATACCCGCCATGTTGGCTGGCTGTGTGCAGAAGTCCTGCATCGCACACTGATCCCGGTTGCTGAGCGAGGAGAAGTCCTTGTACAGAGGAGCTTCAGTAAGAGTCGTCGGTGTGAGGAGAATGTCTACACGGTCTTCCTTCGAAGAGGCCTCAAATACCTTTGAAAAGTCCTCGGCAATCAAGCGTCGCACACGCAGCGCCTTTTCAAAGTAGTGATCGTAGTTTTTGCGAAGCAGCAGAAAGTTTCCCGTCAGGATGCGCGTCTTGACCACATTGTTGAAGCCCTCGGCACGGGATTGTGCATACAACTGCTCTGTGCTGCGCTCGTCGGCAGCGCGGTGCCCATACTCGATGCCATCGTAGCGAGCCATGTTGCTGGCCACTTCACACTGGTTCAGGATCGAGTAGACGAATATGCTGGCTGCCGTATTGGGCAGGGAAACCTGCTGCACTGAGGCACCAGCGCACTCTAAGAGATCTGCCACCTTGGTCCACGTTTCCAGGACCTCAGCGGACAGTCCGTTGCAGTGATATTCCTTGGGAATTCCGATGCGCACCGTTCCCAGATCGATTCCATCAACTTCTGACAGTTGTATCTTTGTGAATGGCTGCTTAATGGTTGTAGAATCCTTCCCGTCCGGTCCAGCAACTGCATTCAAGACCTCAACGCAGTCGCTAACCGAGCGGGCGAAAATGCCCGGCACATCCATGGAGTTGACCAAGGGAATGAGTCCATGACGGGAGACCAGGCCATAGGTAGGTTTCAGACCCACAACACCGCAATACGAGGCAGGATTTCGAGTGGAACCGCCAGTGTCCGAACCAATGCCACTACAAAAAAAATATATATTCGGTATTAAAAATATACATGTAAGAAATACCAATGCAGTTATAAGAAAGATTGGCATCCGCTTGCACCAGCTGATTGCGTGTGGAAAACGGTCACTCTGCGCTGCTGTCAGAAAGTCGACCGAACGACGAAAACTTTATTATTTACGAAAATTGCAATTATATTTGCATTCTGAAGCGATGTCTGCGCTCTTTCGTGTAACCAGCCGTGCCGTGGCGCTCCAGCGCTCCCTGGTGGCCAACCAGGCGGCCACATTACGGGCATGCCGCAGCATAAAGACGTCGCCGAAGAAGGACGAGACAATCGCAGCCCCCGCCAGCGTAACAACAGAAGACTTTGCCAATCCCAGCCCCAAGAACTGGATGAGCTACGGCTTCGACTACAAGGAGGAAGCTGAGGATCGCAAGGCGACGAAAGCCACCTTCTTCGTTACCGTCACCCTGTGCCTGGTGTGGGGAACCTTCTTCTGGTCCTACTCACCCGACAGTCAGATGCGCAACTGGGCCCAGCGCGAGGGCTTCTTGGAGCTGCGCCGTCGCGAGCAGGCTGGCGTGGATTTGGTGAGCCCCGACTACGTGGACCCCGCAAGCATTTCGCTGCCATCGGACGAGGATCTCGCCAACACGGAAATTATCATCTAAACAATTAGTGCTCTATCCCTTAGTTTGTTATGTAATGAGTGCAGCTGGTGGCCACTGCCGAGCCGCGCGTTCTGCTCGTTAATAAAAATGCACCTTCCGGCGCGAACGAAGCTAGCAATGATGCCCGTGAGAAGTATTTCGTAGGAATAATCCCATTTTCGAGTTTAACATGTCGGCAATTGAGGTTAGGTGCAAGGTGAAAATTGTAAACAACCGAAAGAAGTTACTCACGCAAAGCACAAGCCAGCGGCCACAGCTGATGCAGATCCTCCCGAGCTGCCGCCCGCAATGCGCCAGTTGTCCTCTGTCAGATCCTCGCTCCAGATGTTCTTTGCGGGCCCATAAATGGAGTCCACTGTGCCGGCGCCCATTGCAAACTGGTCCATATTGGTCTTTCCGAGGAGCACAGCGCCGGCTTGGCGTAATCGGGAGCACACCGTCGCATCGTAGGGCGGCACAAAGTCCTGCAGCATGCTGGAAACCAAGAGGGCAGGCTGAGCAAGCTGTTTGTTTGAGAACATTCTTGCAAACCAACCGTGAGGCACAGGTAGTGTGCACATTCTTCGTGCAAAAGTTATCCTTAATGGCAATGGTGACACCATCCAGGCCACTGTTCGGCTGCTTCTTCTGGTAGCGTTGCTCCGACTCCAACGCCTGCTGTCGAGCCTCCTCTGGTGTGAGACGCACAAAGGCATTCAGCGTCTTTAGATTCACGGCATCCTCCAAAGCCTGTTCCGCCACCCGGCGCGGAGATAGCTGGCCATCGGCATAACTGGATGTCAACTGAAAAGTCTTGAAATAAAATAGTTCTGGCTATCCAATTAAAGCTGTGACCCACTTGTTTGATGCTCCACTGCAGATGTCGCCGCATTCTACTCAGAAAATCACCACAGCCGGCGGGAGACAAAAGTTTTATTCAAAATAGAACCAGGCGAAAAGAAGTCAACAAGAATTTATGTCTGTCTAGTAGCTGTTGATTGGTATTTTCTAACCGCTGTCTTATGGTCGCACTGCAGCAGTGCTGACATCTTGGCATATTAAAGGATTTATCTCTGGTTTTTAATAACATTAAACCTTAAAATTGTTTTAAAGAATGCTTTTTAAGTAAATTCAGTTATTATTATTGAATATTATATATGCATGGTCAGGAAATTATCGCACAATAAATAGACATTTTCAGCAATTTTCTGTTTTCAATCTAGCTTTATTATTACTCTGATTTTCTGCCAGCACTGCTCCTAAGACAGATGCTATTGATTAGAACGGCGATAAAATCCAGTCAAGCGCAATTATTACCCGGAAATCTTCCACGCCGACGCCATAACGTTAGATAATAGCAATCAATCATTACAAGCAAACGTCTGAAGAGCAAATTAATTGCAAAAGGGCGAGGCAGGAAGATGGCAAAGCTCGATGAACGAATTGGCTTCATTGGAGGCGGCAATATGGCTTTTGCCATTGGCAGCGGCCTCGTTAGCTGCGGCATTGTGAAGCCCAGCCAGGTGCTGGTCTCGGGCCCGCATATCGAGAACCTAGCCCGTTGGCGGGAGCTGGGAGCCGTCACCACCGACGAAAACTGCGAAGTTCTGGAGCACACAGACATTGTGTTCATTTGCGTCAAGCCGCACATCCTGGGACCCTGCGTCGCTCAGCTCAAATACAAGCATGTGCCGTCCGCGAAGGACGCCAGCAAGCTCATCGTTTCCGTGCTGGCGGGCACCACACTCAAGACCCTAGAGGAAAAGTTCGACTTTATCGAGAGTTCGGGCCTGAAGGTGATCCGCACGATGCCCAACACATCCATGCAGGTCGGCGAGGGCTGCACCGTGTACACGGGCAACTCTCGTGTCACTCACCAGGATCTGGAGAAGGTGCACCTAATGCTCAACGCACTGGGACTGGCGCAGCAGGTGCCGGAGCACATGATCGACGCCGTCACCGGCGTGGCTGGCTGTGGCCCAGCCTTTGTCTACACAATAATCGAGGCTCTGGCCGATGGTGGTGTCAAGCAGGGTGTTCCCCGTGCCATGGCTCTGCAGTTTGCAGCTCAGACCCTACTGGGCGCAGCCAAGACTGTTCTCATCACCGGCAAGCACCCGGCCGTGCTGCGCGATGAGGTGTGCTCACCCGGCGGCTCAACCATTGTGGGTGTGCACGAGCTGGAGAAGGGCAATCTCAGGTGAGGCAGTGGCACCCGGTTCGGAAATTACCCAACTACTAAGGTTCTTTCTCTGGGGCTTCTTGCAGGGCCACGCTCATAAATGCCGTGGAAAAGGCGACGCAACGCTCGGCCGAGCTGGGCAAGAAGTGAAGGAAGAGGCGTCTCCCCATGCTCTCTACGTACAGAATGCAGTTCCATTTCAGTTACAAACTTAATGTTGCTACTATAATTATGACTAATATAAACGTTTCACTTTATTCACGATCCTTCTTGCTGACATATTCGACGCACTTGGAGGGATCTGTGGGAAAGTATTCCTGGCATTTGGTCATCAATCGCTTCAGGCCCTGTATGTACTTGCGCTGCGTCTCGTCGTTCATCACGTGCGCCACGTTCTTGGAGAAGATCTTCTCGCGACCGGTTCTCGCATGGATGCCCACCATGGTGACACCAATGGGCCAGGGGGCATTGCCGATGGCCATCTCCAGGTAGGCATCGCTGGCAGTGATGTAGTTGCGGTTCAGCAGATGCTTGACAATGTCGCGCAGGCTGTCCAGGATGTCCTCGGGCAGCGTGTGGTGCTTCAGCTTGCGGAACAGCGGCTTCACGTACTCCTTCGTCTGCGTGTAGATCACACGCGTCATTTTCACCTTTGTGGACATAATCTCGTGCTTGCTGTAGGTCGCAATCTGGTCGTTCCACAGCTTGAGCAGGAAGGTGAGCAGCGTGATGATCACGTCCATGTCGTAGTCTTTGTTGCGACCCATCTTCTTGGCCATGGTCTGTATGCTCTCCCAGGAAACGGACTCATCGAGCTCGGCCAGGTCGGACTTCTTGTCCTCTTTGGCGGTGGGTGCGTTGGCGAACATCTCCTGCAGATAGGCGGCATCCACCTGCTCCATTGCCTCCTGGAAATCGTTGCGGAATCCCCGATTAGCCTCTGGCTGCGAAATCTCGCACTGTCGCAATCTGTCGAACGCCTCCGGCTCCGTCTCGCCGAATATGAGAATGGGTTCTCCGCGTTCCCGCAGACGCCGAATGACCTCTGTGCGCGGCAGTATGTTCTGTCCGTCGGCCACAAAACTGTAGGCACCCTCCGTGATCTGTCCCTGCGCCTCGACCGACTCCTGCTTCTTGTAGCCAACTTTTTGCAGCACTTCCTCCGTGTTCTTGGCGTTGAGGTCGCCTCGCTTGAAGTACTTTTTCTTGTCATCGATCAGCTGCTTATCCTCAAGTAGCTTCCGTTTACGGGCTATTTCTTTCTTTAATAGGTCCATGCTGCGTGAGGATTACAATTGTTTAATTCGAAAATTTGTAAACAAAGATGCACCCAGGGCGGAATCGATATAGTTTTGGTATTTATTCCACTAGTAAATGAAAATACCAGTATATTTACGGTGTATTTTCTACATGATATTGAATATTTCGGTATATTTCTGAGGGTTAGAAGAGTGTCTCAATAAATTAGCGGTCACACCGAATCAACATATTTACAATCGAAATTCGCAAATTTTTGACAAATTTTGGACAAAATGCCAAAGAAAATGGGTACCAACTCGAAGGCCGTGGAGGCGCGCGAGCGTAAGGAGAAGGAGCGCAAGGCGACCCAGGATAAGAAGGCCAAGGACGCCGAAGATCGTCTGTGGCATGACGATGACAAAAGTCTGGCCAAGAAGCAGCAGCGTCGTGAGGAAGAGGAGCGCAAGCGGGCGGAGGCAGCCAAGCGGAAGGCGGAGGCCAAGGCACTGCTGGACGAGGAGATGAGCTCCATCAGCACCCAGCGCAAGCAGCCGCTGGCCAAAATCAATCGACAGCAGATACTGGAGGAGGTGGAGAAGAAGCAGCGAAATCTCGATGCCATCAACGAGGCCAACAAGCCCGCCGCCACTCGCGTTGTGGTGCAGACCAATGTCATGGAGGAGAACCTCAATCGTTCACTCGCCGACACTGATGTAGCCAGCAACATTGACCAGGCGCTGGTTGTTCTCAGGTGAGTGTCATCAAAGTTTTCTTTCTTTTTTGGGTTTCCCTAAGGCTCTGGTTCAATTTCCCACAGTGTCAACGAGAGCGATGAGGACAAGCATCCCGAGAAGCGTATGCGCGCAGCCTACAAAACCTTTGAAGCCAACAATCTGCCTCGCATCAAAGCCGACAATCCCTCGCTACGCATGTCCCAGTGGAAGCAGCTGCTGATGAAGGAATGGAACAAGTCGCCCGACAATCCCTTCAACCAGGCACGCTAGCGGTCGGGCGACATGGCGACGAGTGTGCGTACTCTAGTGACTCTTTTGCTGCCGAGCAGCAAAGAAAAACCTTCGCAGGAATGAAACGCAGAATTTAATTTATACAAACTAACATTATTTATAAAGGTGAAGTCCCTAGTAAGATCTCGCTCCTTATGCAATAAAAGAACAACAAATGTAAGCAGAAGCAGGAGTGAAAATATTTAGACAGCTTTCCTTTGCTTATTTAATGACCAATTTTTATTGGCTGGACGGAACTTTGTGGCCCTGATCCGATTCCGGTTCCACGTTCGCCCTGTTGTGCTTATGAATGAAGTAATTACATTTATTGCTTTGATTGCTGTTGTCATTCCAACTTTTTACCCATCACTTTTTGTGTGCTGGTACGAAATAGAGAGAATAATAAGTGCTCTGTGCTTCCGCTTTCACTGCTGGCTACTTGCGAGTTTGGTGGCGTTTGGTGAACCACGAAAACATCCACAGACGAACACCTTTTGGGGCGTAAAGCGCAGACATCTCCAAATAAATGTACGTAACATCAGCAAGTTAAGTATGTGCTTAAATTTGATTTCATATAAGTCGCCTAATATTTGGTCTTAATTGAGCGATTTTCCAACATACATACATATATAAAGAGTGCCTTAGTTACTTTCTTCTGGCCAACTTTCATTTGGAGTCCAAAGAGCCTGCGATGGAGTACTGCGATACGAAGGAAGGAATTTGCAAAGCTCCTGCGGCACTTACATAGCAGATATACATAATTCTGTAATTTCTGTTATCTAAACCGTTATGAAATGCTAATGCTGTTGGGAATTTCTCTTATCATTAACCCACACATCGTTCATTTATTAACGGTTAGTGTTGGCGGTTTTATTACACATTCCAAAGATCACTCGGAAGCGCCTCGTAACGTCCCAGACTGCATGCAACAATTAAAATGTTCCACTGCAGCGAATTCGAATTTTAACAGTGGCTGTTAACCGTTTCCAACCGTTTCAGTTCCAACTGTCAGCTGGCTGTTCGCTGTTCGCTGCCAATGCCAATGCCAGTGCTTTCTTTTTAATAAAAAATTTCTTTTGTCGTCGCGCAACTTCATTCAAACCGGGACCGTCGAACGCAGCGGACGCGTCGTGGATCTCCTCCAACTCCAACAGAGACACCTTTGAGCAAATCGAAGACGCGAGAGAAATGTAAATGAAAGAAAATAATACCCATACCCATATTGAACCCCAAGGCATTGTGTGAGTTGTTGTGAGTGTTGTTTTTGCAGCTGAGAGAAAAGAAAAGTGCGAGACGTATTAGGAAAATTGAACGAATTGAAAATCAACGGAAATCGCAAAAGCAAAGAAGCAAGAAACGGGAATCGTGAGTGTCTCTCTCTCTCTCTGTCTCTCTTGTGTTTGTGACTGTGTGAACTTTATTGCTAAGTTCTTTTGTGCAAATAACACGATTAGCATCCAATCATAAGGATACCCATAGCTGATCAGCGTTACGAAGGGTAAGCCGGCGGTAGAAACGCTCCAAAGGGTTCTTGTCTGTCTTATAGGTTAAGCGGTTAGCAGTGCGTACTACAGTTAGAGCTAATTAGCATACCAACCCAACTCTGAGCAGAGACCGGCCCAGCTGCTGGTCACCAATGTGGAAATCGGGGCGAACCGAAGCAACCCGCACGACTGTACTGCACTGCACTCTGTCCGGGGCCACGTTTGTGGCTCAAGTCTTTTGTTGCAATCTGTGCTGTGTGTAGCCCTTTTTGCCGGCAGAACAGCAAAAACCTTGCTCAGTTTTTAGTTACAAACATAATTACGAGTACGAGTACGAGTACGAGTACGAGTATGTTGGCTGCTGCCACTGCTCTTCCGACTCCAAGTCTTTCCCGATCTCTCGCTGAGTCTTACTTTTCTGTTCATCAATTTTGGCTGACCTACAAATCGGGGACTACATGTTAATTGATGTTTATTTCCTCCTCTCACTAGAATGACATTCCCCATGCTTTTGGCCACATATTGTCAGGTTCATTGACCATCGATGGCAGTGCAAGATTTTTGTGTAATGATTTTCCTTAATTAATTCAAACTTTGCATGTGCTTTGATGGGCTTGCATGTTGAGGAGATTATTATGCATTCGACTGGAGATTATTCAATACACAGACCAAGAGCTAACGAGATTAATTGGCCGTTAGTTAATTTATTACTTTCACAATAGGTCGGCGCAGATCGCTCCCAATAGGAGACCACTGCCCGCCGTCTGATTTATAGCCATTGGCATTGGCAGCGACCCAAATTGGCAATTGTTAGCGAAGAAGAACCGAGAGAGCAGAACTTGGAGCAGAACTTGGAGCCAACCCATTTATTTGTTGGCATGCGCGGGCGCACCACCCCCCTACCCGCCTGCCCCGCTATTGCAATTGCATTAACCGACAGCTCAGCCGACTGAGCCAAAAAGCCAAGTGACCATAAAAGAGCTGCTTGTAAAGCAGCAGCAATAACGGTTTGCGGTGGGCCTGGCCTAAACCGAATTACCTACAAGATCTACAAGTGATGTACGCAATGCCATGTAGGGGGGTACGGGAATGCCGTCTGGCTTCCTTAGCTGGTAGGAAGTCACACTCTGGCTCCAAAAACGCACTGACAGCCTTGAAAGATTTATTGGCTGCACCGCAGATGGAACGCAGAGCAGCAGCAGCATCGTGAGTTGATTCTTTAAATGGCAGCCCAGATCCCCATCCCCATTGGATCAATCACCGTTATCTTGGCTGACCAAATGCATCTTTTTGGGCACTTTCCTTTTTATTTGAGAGGCTCGTGCCTGCCTGTCTTGTCTGTTGGCTTTTGCTTTGGCTTTGGCTTCCAGCTTAAGCTCCAACTTGGCCACGGCTGTCATTCAACGCTTTTCGCACATTTTCCTTCAATCTATCAGCAGTTTCCATTTGATATCTGCGAACACTTTAATAATAGCTGCAAATTTGTATTGAAACTCTTCTCGTATGAGCGCCTGCCGTGTGCAATGCATAATTTATCTCGCTTTTATGCCATAAGTGGTTGTGCATTTTCGAGACTAGACTCGACTCGAGTCGACTTCATCAAAACTAATCAAATAAATGCAACGAAACATTCAAGTTTTTCCCTCCAATGGCCACACACACTCGACTTGAACTTCACACTCTGCCGCGGAGGCAGCCTGGAAATTTCACCATTTCTCTTTGAAGAACTTACGAGAGAGAGAGAGAGAGAGAGAGAGAGAGAGAGAGACTTCGTATTATAATTAAGATTTCAAGCACGCTGCCTTGACTTTCATTGCCATTTCTTAGACCCTCCGTCTGCCGTCGATTTCGGTTTATTGATTTTGGTTTGATTTTGGATTTTGTTTCTGCTTTCGGTAAGGAACCCTAACCGATTTGGCCAATGGGGTTATACATTTCCATATGCTAATACCCCCGCTTAGCATGTAGGTGTCACTTTCTTTCCCGGCCCCGCTCTGTGTGAGTGCGGAAATCCGATTGGGGCGCTGAGCTCCCCACGGGAATGTGCTCGCAAATTTCATGTGATTGCAACACTCGAGTGATTCATGAACGCCCCAACACACGGTCCAAGGTGTGCGCACATCTGGCCAACAGCAAACCATTCAACATCGCCGCAAGAGATCAGCTTATGGCCGATTACGCACCTTAAAAAGTGAAATTTCTGTTGTTTCTCTCTCTTGTCTTTTGCCAACAAAATGCAAATTAATTTGTATGACTAAGATTTGATTTGCCCATGAAAATGAATACCTTTGTCCACCGTTCAACTTGGGAAACTTGCTGCAGGTTGAAAATGCCTCTCGGTCTCCGAGATTCGAATCGGCCCCCCTCCCCCCCCC